ATCTGGTCGACCATATTTCGTCGAATTAGCGCTTAGCGAGATCACTAAATGTCGCTTTCTTGGAGCGCTACGCAACGGTGAGGTGACTAGACGAGTGACGCCTACTATATATACCATCTATACCAACCTGTGCGGCACAATAAATGACTGAAAATCTTGAGAGTGCTAAAAATAAGCACAATATGTTGATGGTTGAGTATTAATTCTTTATATTAAGTGACAGACAATGATATGAGGGTGGATAACAATGCTCATAAGATCTTGAATAGTCGACATATCGTATAGGCTAGGAAGAGGTTGAGTAAGACCAAGAATGCGGTTCCATAATGATGCATTGAGTGTTCCACGAACACTTTCACGTCTTGTGAGACAGCCGCCACTGAAAGGACAGCATTTTATTTTACAGACTGGTAATTAGTCAACATCGGAGGCTTATACTGAAGAAAATGTTACCATAGCGTTTAGCTTTGTAAAACGGCCCTCCTTCGGCTTTAGCTCGCCAGTCGTTTGCAACACCTCTTGAAATGGTTGTAGTCCACAATGCATTTGGTGTCTGTTCTTGATCCAATTTTCCATCAATGAGCTAAAATGCATAAGAATAGTGAAGCCGTTGTACAATAGTAATTTTTTCATTTTTACTGCGATCTCACCTTTCGTCCATCAGCTGTGTATGTAATCTTCGGACGGCGTCTGCGCTGAAAAATAATTCAAGTAGACTCGGAATTGTTTTGACATCGAAGTGTTTATAATATTGTCGTAGTTGGAATGTCTAGCAACACTCAAGCTTTCATTCGTACTTTTGTGTGTGCAGTTTGTACTTGACTAGATATGCATATAATATGCCCGTTTAAGCGAATCTGGTTGTCACTTTGCTGTATATTCATTTAGATTGATTATAGAAAGTTTTTCAAAATGGTTTACCTTTTCAAACACTTGTTTTTCGTCAGATCGACCTTCAGCAAATTCATCGATGCTTGATGCTTCAATGGGTGAATTGAATACGTTAATCATCTTTGATTAGTGTCGATTTGACTTGCCTGAAGGTACTAAACAACTACATTCACAAGCTATAACACGCAAGTCAGCTTGCGGAAACTATTGATACTCGAAATTCTCTTCCAAGAAAAAAACCATTTGGGACACAAAGCAAAAGGTAAAACTCGAACGAAAATTGATATGGTGATGTGGAAATTTCACAGTGAAATGCAAAGACCAGACGTCTTTGCCACAAATGAGCATATGAAACAGAACAGAAAATTGTTGGCACTTTTTGCGGCTCTAATGGGCCCACCGTTGCTGGCCAACGCCTGTGCAAGTATATATTATCTATGATTGGTTGTTCTTAATTATACTTCAAACTCCTCGCTTTCTTTCTACGGTGCAGTCTTAAATGTCATGCTCGTATAGTTCTTTAAGTGTGGGAATAAAAAACATCTGCTGAGTCACTTAATTGCTCATTGTCTAAGTTCATGCGGGAAAGATACAAATGCCTTCTATTCTTTGAAATTGCAAATCATGCTACCTTTGAAGATGCTCTTCTTGAGTTTATTCTTATTTCCAGGGGTTTGGCGTGTGTGCAAATTAACAATGAACAGTTCAAAGCGACGCTGTAGATTTGATGATGTAGGAAAGAATGCCAGTTTAGAGGATTTCCAGGTATGTAGAAGTATGTACAATTTGTGTCAGTACGTAGTGATTCAAAGTTGAGAAGCGACGTTGTTCAATCGAACATTGGTTGTTACGCAATCAAGTATCGACTGAAGACTAGGTGAAAGAGTTTGAAGCTTATCGAAGATGACAACTTCGGAAGGTTTGTTGTGCTCCATATGAAAACCTGTTCCTTCATTGCTATCTGTGGAACATGGCTATACAAGGAACATAAGAAAGGATGATGTCGACCACCAGAATATCTGAAAACCTCTACCAGAGCTCCTGCATTTGCCTCAGGATGTAAAGTGAAGAGTAGTTTTTGTAGCTTTGACGCTATATGGAGTCTTTCGCAAGATCAAGCCGTATTACCTATTTTTTATACATATCATGT